AATTTTTTAGTCAGGTGGGCCTGGATGGGAAGTGGAAATGGGCAGGAAAGATAGTGTAGGGGCCAACAAAGCAGCAGCCAACAGCAATATACCTGCTCCTAATTCTGATTTATCAACATTGTTGTCAAAATTCCAGAATCTTGGGCTGTCACTCCAAGACATGGTTGCACTGTCTGGTAATTAAAATAATAACCAGTTTTTCATTAGTCACAAAACTAAAATTACAATTTAACATAGTAGGCGATCAACTAACCATTCTTGTCGAACGAGCAGGCGCGCACACCATGGGAAAAGCCCGATGCTCGACATTTGCGGCACGTCTGAACAATAACAACAACACGAGCGGCATTATTTCCGATAATGCCCCCAACGTCAACCTCGAATTCATACAGTCACTCGAGCAGCTATGCTCGCGACCCGGTTCCGGCTCGACCCTTGCCGACCTCGACCATAGCACGCCCACGACTTTCGACAATCAGTATTACCTCAATCTTCTCTCGGGCGAGGGCCTGCTCGGGTCGGACCAGGAGTTACTGAAGGAGGGCCCGCGCAGCATTATCGAGCTCTACGCGGTTGACGTGGACGCGTTTTTCGAGGATTTCAAGAGGGCAATGCTGAAAATGGGGAGCCTTGGGAGTGGAGGGTCGCCGGGAGAAATTCGTAAAAATTGTAGGGTTGTAAATTAATTCGTGACGTTAACCACGAGCTGCATTGTGCTTGTGTGTTTGTTTGGTGCTTGCTTGTTATCTATGTTGTAGTATTATTATTGGTATAATTATGTCGTGAAGTTTAATGTTTGTGGTGGAATGCAATGTATGTCTGTTTGTGGCTTATGGTTCTCAAATTATGTTTTATTTTAGGGAAATTTTCATATCTCCTACTTGATTTATAAATATTTACAATTCTACTATACAAATATAATTAATTATGTCTTTACTTAAAAGATCACATTTAATTACATCAATGCCTAAAAGGAGTTACCATATCCATTAGAACCTCAATCTCTTAATTCTGTTGTTTAAGACCATATTTGACTACATTAATGCCTAAAAAGGTAGTTACTATATTTATTTCAACATAAAAAAAAATAAGTTCATTTTCTTATTTTATATTTTTTTTTAATCTTTGAAAATTCATTAAATGGGTTCTCTAGATTTTTAATGGTATATATACAGTTTTTTAATGGTATATATACAGTTTTTTAATGGTATATATATAGTTTTTTTAATCGTTTTTTAATGATATATATATATCCTTTTTTTTAAATATTGCACTTTTGAGAATATACCGAAAATATACTGAAAATATACTAACTATAAACCATGAATAACCATACAAATAAAACGCTCCACCTTAATTGTTTGTATATTCCATTACAAATACCAAAAAAAAAAAAAAAAAAAAGAAAAAAAAAACATGTATTGTAATTCACGCAGGTGTCAGGGTGAGTATATATTGCGTTTCTGTTAGTATATATTCAGTATATGTTTAATATATATACAATAAAATATACCATCAAAAAATATTGGTGTATGTGTTGCATATATTTCAATGATTATAGTAAATATAAAGTATAATCATGGTATATATAATGAGTATATAAAATATAATGTCGGTATATATACTTACAATACAAACCGTGAAGATGGTATATGTATTGTATATGTTTTCCATGATTTTACTAAATATAAAACATACATATACCCAAGATATACATAATATAAACCATATATATAACAGGGGGAAACGATATAAACACGATAACAATATGAGGGGATAAAAAATATATAAAAAATATACTAAACATAAACCATACAAAACAGCAAAGTTCCAATTACAGGGTGAAAGAGAACAATTTATGGACATTTAGCTAAACCCAGACAAGGATACAAATTAAAAAAACAAAAAAAAAA